CCTTACTTCGAGCCGTTCCGCTCAGAGAAAACACACCTCTCGCACCATATCAACGCGGCCGCGGCTCCATCCCTCATGTCGTATTCTACATTCCCAAGATGCATACCTCCCCCTTGTCGAGCCATAATGCCCCATTCATTCCCCATCATGCGTAGCCCATAGTCGAAACAAGAGCACTTATCTAACTGACCTTTTTCCTATTTGTCATATTTCAGATATGGTCCGTTCCGTTCATCATATTTTATCTGCCACTCGTTTCCTGATCCCAGCCACCTATTTTGTTGTCTGCATTCGAATCGATCTACTACCGAATGGTGTCTATCCGACCTCGTGTCACGGTCTATTCCACCTCAGGGTGAGTCCAAACCTCACACAGGCATCCCTTGCCTCGTATACCAAATCCCACTCGTACTAACACTCCGATTTTGATCCCCTGGTCACATTCAGCCGATCATTACGGAAGCGCCGAACAACTCTTTGTAAGTCGCAGGTTCCTATTTCCAATCCAATTTTTCTTTTTCCTCTTCATTCTATAAGCTCGTCGGTTTTTTTTACTATCTGGGAATCGAGCGTGTCAAAAAGTGGGGAATTCGATTAGCCAAGGGGTGGCCCACCAGCCTTTGCACCCCTCTACCGGCAGTTTGCATTCACCACACACGCTTATTCTGCATTTATTTCTGATCTTTTTGATCCATGTCTGCATGGATTGATCGCATTCAGATAACAGTTTGACTGATCACAAATTTTCTACCCCCTTTTTTGCCTTATCGAATATAGGGCCATTTCCGAAGCACGTTACCGCAATCGACATCAGCACGAGTATTGGGTGCCACAAAATGGTGTGTTTTTAGGGCCCCGCCACAAGGTGACCTATCGCCTGCATATGTCGAAGAGGCCGTACGCGAGAGGATCAAGCGAATGCGCGGTTCCTTAGATCAAGGTGGCTCTGGAAGAGTCGACCTACTACAGGTGAGCAAATTTGATGTCATTTCCCAAGCCCATTCCTCTCCATCATCCTTGTGACGCGCAAGACCCGACTCTTGTGGGACACCGGTGCTTGTCCTTGTGACCTTCTTTTATGCTTTCTTCGCAATTCCAGCTGTCCGCCGCTGACCGCTAGGTCACGAGCCATTCTTAATTCTCTCTGCTCTAGCCAGATGATCAGTGGAGCTGACGAATTGTGATTCAATTTCCTTTTTAATCCCCTTCTAGTTTTACTGGCAGGACTATTCAGACAAGCGCTACCTCCAAGCCATCCATATTATGGCCTCTCTCAGAT